CCTTTGAAAGCAGACACAGCACATGATTAGCTCGTTCTGCAGCCCGCGTATTCAGCCAGGTCGCCGCGGACAGCCATGCCATGGCAGCTGAAAACCAGCGAGCCAGCAAGCACGCTGCCCCTCCTACTCCTGTCAGCTAAAACCACAATGAAGTCAAAGGCGAGTGCGTATGTTGCAGCATACGCATACTGTCCAGAGGTGCATGCGCTACGAACGGGAGGTGAGCTTGAAGTCACGACTTGAGCACCCATGTTAAGGAAATTGCACTCTGCTCTTTGCCGTAGGATTATGCTGCTGCAATCATCTCGGAATGATGATGCGAGATTCAAGTGCTTCACATGAAAGCTTCAACTCCTGCTCAGTATCACTTAACCAGAGTCAATGCCCTGCATCACAACAGACGTGCACCAATGCGATCTTTCACGATCAACGCGAGCTGGTCAGTTTCGACCGAATCTAACTTTGTACAGGTCTGCTACATGTGTAGACTGCGTAGACATCAGTAGCATGAACGTTGCTGCAGGGACCACATCCTCACGCATGCTATGCTCCGGCTGTGGAACATAATGCCAATCTGCAGCAATGATCCACACACTGCAGACATAAGCAAGTCTCAGTCTGCCGTCAGCAGATATTCCGCCGTCCTGTGGAAGGACCGAACTGCAGAAGCACGAGCAAATGCAAAGCTAAGTGACCATCACTCGGACAAGCACGAACAATGCGACCCAGGTGAGCTCTTATCCAGTGATCCAGACTCGACAGCCCGTCCAGCAGTGATGAGTCGTTTTCGGAGGCTCGGCGAGAGCCTTGCTGTCAGAGCACAGCGCAGAGACAGACCTGGGCAGCCTATCGAACTTGCAGCGCCTCTCTGCGAAGCCCCCAGGTGTCGGTAGGCTTCAGCACTTACCTACAAGTAGCTTGCAAGAGAATGGACTGCGCAGACGGACTCGGCACCTCCACTCTTGTGAGAGGTCTTGGTGTTGGTGCAAGCGCCAACTCTGCCTCCCGGAGGGAAAAAATGCGCTTTTGCTTAGGCTCACGCGATCCCTCGCCTCCAGCGAGACGGGCCTGCAAGGAAGGCTCTGACTCGCGAACGCGTCCTTTTGGTCAGATCTCAGACCACCTGTGACCGGCCGGCTGTGCTCGTTTATGCCGTCGGAGTTGATCTCCTCCGCCCTCGCACCAGAAGCCGAGTCATCTATACGGAGATGCAGCCCAGGGCTCTGGCCGTACCACCCTGAGAAACCTCGATTCAGCCACGAAGCTCAACAGCATGTAGGATCTTCAGCCCTCCAAAACCTAACACTCCAGACACACTGGAAAGGACTTTCCTCTGCGACAGCCACGTCCATCCATAGTGCTGCCGAAGCACGGCGGCATGGATTTGTAACGGGAGAAAGCTGTGACATAGTCGAGAAAAGTCAGGTCCTGTTTGCAAGGCCGGCAGCTTGCGCCCGCTCGGGCAAGCTTGCATTGGAGGACGCTGGGTTTGCACGCTTGATGCGTCCTTGTCCAACGGGAACCAGCTGGCGTGGTCGGCCAGGGCACCCATCAGAGCTCCCAGACCATCCTGCAAAACGACATGATTCGGAGCCGCATCGGTGAAGCGATGCTTTCTTCTCGGATGTGCTCTTGAGTTCTTGAGGTACCGAACACAGACACTTTGCCACCCATTGTCACATCTTCGCCGTCCTTGGGGTCGGGGTTCACCGGGGGCATAAACGCGAAGACCTGATGCTCCGGGCCTGGCAGCATTCCCGAATCTTCCACACTTCAAGCATGGGACACTTCAGCCAAATCTACCCGACGCCTATGCTAACACTCTTGTATCTCTTGGCCGATTCCAGCACCTGACACAGCCAAAGTGCAGAGGCTCTTCTCCGAACGCTTTCTACCTCCTCTGCTGAGCCTGGACCACCCGCTGGCTTGAAAGGGTTCTCCCGAGCCTCGTTTCGAGAACACTCCAGATAGGCAGCGCGACATCACCTCCGGAGATTCGAGGAGCCGGCTTGGAGCAAGCCTCTTGGACTTTCGCCAGGAAGTCTCGAAACGTGTCGTTCAAAAACACCTGCTGACGACGTGCCCTGACCCGGAACACCCTTCAGCATCTATGCCGCAGCCCAGGGCACCTTCACGCCATGGCCTCCACCATCCATGGCCGTTTCAAGTGCCTCTGCCCGTGCCCGCAAGCTCTTCCACCTTTTTGCACCAAACTCCAGAGCCGCGGGCCAATCTTGGTGTCTTTGTGGCTCCTGTGGCTGGCACTAGGCAACGCTTCTCCGTAGACCCTGTAGACCGCAATGCTGTTCCCGGGCCTGCTTGGTTCAGAAGATCTCCAAACAGCAGGGGCCTCAAAGGCGAAACTGTGAGAAATTCGACTCTGATCTTGTGTGAGTGTGAGATTTCAAACTCGGCAGGCACACAATCCTTTGTTCGCAGAGCTTTGCGATGTAGGACTGCCCGAAGATGTGCTGTCTTCCTAAGTGTGCACATGTAACTGAATCGGTCGCTGTGCAACAGGTCAAGCGTGAACCACGTTAATCGGTCATTTCTGCAGACGTATCTTCCGGCACTCGATCGCCGCATCTCTGCTGATCGTCTCTGCTCAGGTCTGCGCCACGAGAACATCGAGAGCCAAAGCGTCTGCCTGTCCTCGCAGGACAGCCGCCCAAGTCAGATGAAAGCAAGCTCGAGTCAGGACAGTGCCGGTCACACACAGGAGCAAAGTATCGCTGCATGTTTTCAGAAATCCGGAAACGCGAAACTTCCCAGCCAAGTCCGGCGAGCCTATGCTTCCCAGCAGTCCCACGATGGAACCCATCAGCGGACTCCTCAAGGCTTCGGTGCTCGCAGCTGCTCTTTTATGGCGAACGTAAAGTCAACCGTCCCTCCTTGGATCCCAGAACTAAACGCCCAATTCTCTAATTCCCCTCCTCCCACATAATCTCAATCCAGCTTTAACCGTGGTTCTGCGATGAAGCCAAACTCGCGAGGTCCCCTTCTGTGTCGCTTGCAGGCCTTGTCCTTCGAAAGCCGTCTTGGACAAGATCAGCTCCTGTCTGGAAGTCTTGCGATCCGTCAACTGCAGTCCGGCGACAGGCTCAGCCTTGAGCTTCGCTGCCAGGCGCAGGGGCCTCGGAAGCCGAGCCCTTGCACCAGGCATCATCGTTGCGCGCAGCGACTCAGGTCCGGACATGAAGCGCTGAGCATCGCAAAGGCTCGCTCAGCAAGGGGGAGGCTTGGATGCAAGAGATAAACCTGGAGCAAATGTGCTTGCAAGTGTGATGAGTGCATGGAAGCAGTGCATCAGGCACAACAAGGCTGAAACTCCTTCTTGCTCAGCGCGAGCGACTCGTAAGAAGATGAGTCCATGAGGACCTGCCGCACAGCTGCCACGCACGGGAATTGAGCTTTGCGGAGAGTCTCGGCCTGCTGCGCGGTGACTTGGCCGTCCATGCCAACCTTCAGACTGATTTGAAGCCGTTCCCCGTCTCCGGCACCTTAGCAAACGACTACAGAAGCTCAACTGATAAGTGCCTCTCGGCCTATCGGACTTAACGGCACAGAAAGAGTTGGAACGTGAGCCGCAAGCGGACGTAGCGGAGACATAGCAGCTTGTTGCGCTCCGGAAACGGGTCCGTGATCTCCCTCAGCTCTTGCAGAGCGGCGGATGAACGGACATCGCGACGAGTGCTGAGTCTATCTGAGACTGAGGGCAGAGTTTGCAGAGAGGCCGCGGTCGCAAAAGCAGTTTCCCAAAGGTTCAGGCTGCCTTCACCTGCGAGGATCCGTTGTGCTGCCGTGATATCATGCTCGGTCACTGCCACAGCCGCTTGCGAAGTCTGGAACCGGTGTTGCTACCAGGTGCCGACAGAAACAACACCAAACCTTTCCTATAGCTTCTTTCAGACAGCTGCTGCTAGAGAGTCTCGGCTTCACACATTCAAAGATCTGCTTCTCCAACTCCATCAATATGGACGTGTTGATGTCCACATATCCTCGTCCTCGGCGGCTTAGAGTGACTCCACACCAGGATCATCCACCTGCCTCATGCATCATCTACGACATGCTAAGGGCAGTGCCATGCTCCTCGCAGTACTCTCGCGAAATGCCGCATGAAGGCACCTCCTGTCGAGGGGGGCGCACATTCCTTGATCCTGCGAGTTTTCCACGATGCAGGGCCTCACCCTCCACCAACAGGGCTTCCAGGAGGGCGGCACATGTGCCATCTCCTTTTTTCAAGCAGCGAACCACTTCGACTCACAGCAGGTTGCAAGGCTGCAGTATGCCTAGGTCCGGGCTGTGAAAGCAGCGGTCAGCAATCTGAGCCACTTGGCGGCTTGAGAGATATGCACAGCCTCTCCTGACCGAGGCACAAAGCAAGAACCAGCTCGGACTCCCCCTGAACTGCCCTCTGCCCTCACCTGAGCAACACATCAGAGATCAAACGGCAGCACTGCAGCGTGACAACCTGCAGAGCTGCAAGCAGGACAGCCAAAAAAGACCAGAGAGACGTCACCCGGAGAAGCCTTTTGGCTGCCTGGTCGTTGGGGTGGTAGGACCTGGAGGCCGACTGTATCGCTAAGCGTCAAATCAACAAATCAGACGAACTGGGCTACGCACCGTGCCGCCAGATACCAGCAGATCATCTGTTGAGGACAACAAGTTTGCAGGGGACACCTGGGCATCACTGCACAGGGCCACCCTTTCAAGAAACTGAAGGAAATCGGCTGTATGGCAAGGAGCCCAGTTCCACTCTTGTCTGTCCCCATTCCAGCGTGCAGCCTTTTTGGACGCGGTTAGACACCACGAGAACTGGGCCGTTAATTGCACCTCCTGTGTCCAGGCCATCGAGGCTGCGAAAGAGTCCTGCGCCCACTTTGGCAGCAAACCATCCTGGCGAGGCATTTCTGGCAGACTCGCACAGCCGCGGAACGCACAGCAGAGTCAGTAGCATGGCAATTATGGTGACCTCTGTGGACTTTATTGCGCTGACGGCTGGATGTATCATTTGGGACTCTGAAACAAGTGCCGTTGTTGACAGACACCATGCCAAGGCCGGTGACCCAGCAGGGCTTTTTCAAGGGCTGTTCTTCTGAAGTGAGCAACGAAGCTGGCAAGTGATTCATGATGTTTCATGCATTCAGACGAGCCTTCTGACCCATGCTCTGATGTCCACGAAGGACCGGAAATCTTCGAAGCCCATCCTCCGTGTGCGTGTGTGTGTGTGTGTGCCAGTGTCAACGGCTAGCGGCCAGCACCCAGCAATGGGTCCTCGTCATAGACGACTGCACGCATCCAAGGCCTAGGTGCAGATGGGTCTGGATGCACATGTCGGCCAAGAAACACCCGGGTTTGCTGGGCCTTGAAAGCCGCTCCGCACTGAAGAGCTTCAAGCCACCGGCGCCTCAGTCATCGTAGAGAGTCGGTCAGAGCACTGATGCGACTATCCCTCGGACTGCAGCAGAGAACCAATGTCCCGATGGCTGGGTACTGCTTGTTCCTGGAATACGTTCGCTGGCCACTGTAGCTGTGGTGAATCACCTTTTTTTCACCAACAGCCTCCAAATCTATAGCTGATAGCTCAAGTCAAGATGCCCTCAGCACACTTCTTTGCAGGTTCTGTCGAGGGTGTTGGTGGCGTGCTAGTGTACAATGTACAGTATTTAGTTCATGACGACGACGAGGAGGACGACGCAATCGTTTTGCAATCTTTAGGTGTACTGCGGCATTGCTCAATAACGGGCTTTGGACCTGTACTGCAGTTCTTTAGCCTGTTCTTTACAGGTTGTCCATGTCCCACGTCTAAACTTTCGACCAGTATTGCTTTCCTCTCGCGGACCCCTCGCGAAACTTTCGACATTACCTTACACTTTACACATTGAAAATTGGTATATGGAACACAAGACACGGACCTTGCGATCAATGCTCACTTGCTCCTTGCTTGTTTGTGGAGAATGTGGAGAAGATAAGTTGCTGTGGTCTCAAAGTTCGCTTTATGGCCCGACAGCTGCAAACGTCCTGGGAGTCCAAGAGATGCCCAAGCGAAGTTCTCCCACGCAGCGCGGGGGTGTTCCCTGAAACATGACCCACGCAGCCACGAGCGAGAAGCCGCCACCCTCTCCCGCCTCGCCCTCCTCCGCCCAGATGTAGAACGCAGAACCTGCTGAGAGCTCAAAACTCCAGAATGGAAAGGTTGAACTCATTTCCGCACCTGCCCGCAGGAGCTCCCGCTCTTGGAGCAGAGGGCTTGACCGAACGAATGGGAACAAGGAGCGGACGAAAGCTCGTCCGGCCCTCAGCGAAGCCAAGGCAGAAAGAGCACTCAGGAATGAGTAGAAATCACAGAGGAGCTCGCAGCTCTCCGTACTCGTTTGCCCAGACCTCGCCGAGGCACTCAAGCTCGGAGCTCAAGTGGCCGTGCTGTCCTGTGCCTCAATCTCCAGTGCAGGTGATTCCTGCGGCGGTGGGAGGGACCCGCACACCTGCGCCGCACGAACTCGATGAAGGGAGAAGTTCGTCGCACGCGGTCTCACTGCTCGCTGCTCCCATGCGATCAGTCTCCGACCCGGCCCAAGGCTGCTAAGGCCTCCCACCGGTTCTCTGCTGTGCAGCAAGCATCCGACCGGCCGCCAGCGCCTCCTCTTCCTGTGGACCACCGGCCAGCTCAGCCACCCGCGAGATGGGAATCCTGCACCGCAGAGCTTTGAGCTAGGCTGCAAGTAACCGGAATGCAAAGTTCAGATCTAAGCTGGCCCCACATCCACACGTGAGCCGCTACGTGCCAGTCCGGTGGGGGTAGGACTCCACGGCATCCGGCCTTCGCACTTCTCAAGCTTCTCTCCGAAGACTCCTAAGCTGCCAAGCCATGCCAAGCCTGGCGGGGCCTGCAAACAACTCGAACAAGGCCGAAGCCTTCTCGGTCACACTGCCTAGCGGGACTTGAGCTCCTCAGCTCTCAAAGAGGCCTGGACCCTGGCCTTGAGAGCAGCAGATGAGGACAAGGAAGAATCTGCCATGCAGTGCTCTTCTAATCGCAACTCGGAAGTTCACCGGAACGGCGAAGAACCCAAGCCGGCTAGACTCGTTCAAGCTCATGTGATTTTCGAAGACTGCTTCCGATGCCCTTACACAGCCAAGTTCGAACTCTGCCGATGATCCTGCGACACGAGTTCCGGTCAACTCAGCAACCTGCCATGCATCCCAGCGAAATGCTGCAAAGAGCTCCTTCAAGAGTTGCAGTGCGGAGGAGGGACAGAGCGAACAATGAATTTCGTGGGTCCTCGGCCTTCTCGCTCCAGCCTGTCTCCAGTCCCCGAAACCCAGAATGCACAGAGGACTTGGGCTAAGCAACAGCGCAGCCCCGCACGACCTGGAAAGTGCTCCGTCAGCGCTGCAGAGAACCTCCCCCCACTGGCCGCCCATGCCACAGGCCACGCACAGCGTGCGTTGTCTGTGGCTCTCTGTGGCAGCAAGACTCCGCCTTTCCGACGTCAAGGACTCTGGCTCCGCTGGGGAACCCAAGCAATTCCAGGGCCGCACCTGTCAAAGCCCAAGGAGAATCTCGACACTTCGCTGTAAGGCCACTGGATGTGTCCGTGCTGGGCCGCTGACGTCGGGCAGCTCTGCGGCGGCACCCGGCCGACCGCGCAGGCCCAGCGCCGAGGACATGACCTCACAAAAGAGCCCGCCGCTCTCGACTCGGCTCTGGAGCCACAGGCCCCGACCATGGAAGCGATCTGTGCGACGCTCTTCCCATCCTGGGCCTTGCCGACGCGAGCATGAGCCCTGCCATGATCTGCCTAAAGTGCTCGCTGCTAGAGTAGAGACTCCTCGCGGCATAGGTCCGAGGCTGGCACCGAAGGGTCCACCATCGGACCCAGGACGATGCTCAACAGCTCCTCACCACACGCTTCCGAAGTCGGCTTTTGTTCGGGCTGTTGCCGCGAATGTCTGAGTGACCCGAATGGTCGCCGGGAGAGATCTGTGAGGACAGGCTTCGGTGAGCATAGGCTTCGGCTTCCAATCGGCTGCTTCTGTGCGGCTCAAATCTGAACCAGCAGGCGTCAAAAGAGCTTCAAGCACGACTTGAGAGGTTGTCTTTGGGCTCACAGTGGATTGCTCATTGGAACTTGCGCCTCTGGGAGCTGTCGCAGGGCCGCACGCGCACAGTTGGTGTCAAGCAGCAGGGCTTTCTGCATCGTTGGTACCACCTCGATGCACCGTGCAATTAAACAAGGGCATGGCCCTCTCGGAGCTCAAGAGCCTCCTTAAATGGGCCCAAGAAAATGCCATCCCAACATCCCAATACGCCCGGGGTTCCCTGCCGATTGAATGACGAAGTGCGTCGTCAGTTGCCTCGCATGTTTGTCCTAGGAACCCTACAGAAAAGCTTAGATGATGGATGCGGGTTATCACATTTCAAGAGCTCTCCCCCTGCACCTTGGCGCAGCATCCAAAGACTCGCCGAGAGGCTTCAATGGGTTCAAGGCATGCAGCCTGCAGCAGTTTTACAGTGTTCAGAACCAACCCGGGCACTACTATCGCATGTGCCGCATGTGCCCACTCTTTCTGTAGGACGCCGGCTGCCGAACGACCGTGTCCTGCCCGGAACCCATCAAACTTGCAAAAACAGTTTCCCAGTTGATGAAACTCCGCCATCCCTATGCCCACAGATGCCTGCCGCTGCCGTTGGCGACAGAACCTACACGGCAAGAATGCGCTTCGCACTCAACCTCCGTGGTTCAATTCCCGAGCACCTTGTGAACTCCTGAGACGCAGCGCTCCACATACTCAGGACCTGTCAGCTTCAAAGCCTACTCACACTACTTCCGTCTGCAATTGGTGATCCTTGCCTCATGTCGGCTGAAACCTTGCCAAAGAAAGGCCTCCACAGATCCCACTGTAGTCACTGCATGCAAGCATACCCAGTCGGAACTTGGAAGCGGTCCTCGGCTTGAACAAGGATGTCCATCAAGTCCTGCCAAATACCAGACTCAAAAGCTTTGAAGCCCTGCGACTTCTCGGCCATTCACGCGCGACGTGCTTGAAACGTTTTTTTTAGCGCAAGCGCTGCAGGCGTAGCCCTGGTTGGAGGTCCTCTGGGTCAAGCAAAGAGGCGAGTCTAGCTCGGACGAGAGACGTGACCTCGAGCCTGCCACTCCGGAAAGGTGCAACTAGTCGAAAGCTGGCCACCGAAAAAACTCGCCGGTTCTTCGCGGAGTTGCAGGCACAGATGCCATCTCGGGCACCTGCAACATGGATCTTTGGCTGCAACTCTGGCAACATCTGGCAACGGCAGTGGCCTTGGAGGATTCCGAAGGAAAGGTCCACCAACACATGGCGCCTTGATGTGACATTTTGGAGGGCTGGGCATGTTTCGGCGAGGCCCTCGAGGCTCTGGCCCATGTGGGCAAGCCTCAGGGTCGGCCGACCTAAGCACAAAAATAAACACCAGACACTCGGCAGAAGCACCGCAACACGACTCGCTGCTGGGGCCCAAGCTCCCCGACCAACACGTCCATCAGCCGCCAGAAAGAGGCTCTTGGCAGTACCTGACGTGAGATGGCCCGGCATGCCAAGTCGTGTCTTTGCTGTACTTCGGGATCACCCCTGCGAAGAGCCGGCCGAAGTACGTCCAGAAGAGTGCCGATGTGGGAATCCTGCGTGGAAAAAACTGCCACCTAGTCATGAGCATTCTGGCACATTCATTCAGTGAGAGTGGCCCCTCGTCTTGTTTTCCTTGCTTATCCTCCTTTTCCTACACTGCTCCTACCGTTGTAGGTGTTGTCGCAGATGCTTGTGTTGCTGATGTCGCTGCTGCTTGCAGCTCGCCGACGCTGCTGATATCAACGAGAACGGCACAAGTAACAAGGTTGGGCAGAATAAGTTCAAGATCACCCAGCAACACTCCAACGCGTTCTGCTTTTTAGCTCTACTGCTCCGGCTTTCTAGATCTTGACTCGGATCCGAGGGAGTGGCCCCAGCATCACCAGGCGTCGTCGCACCAAGGGCCTCGCCGGGCACACGGATACTGTTGCCTTGCTGACTCCCCGGGCATGTGCACACCTGCTGCACATAGCTCCAAATCAGGCCGGCACTCATGAATAGCCAGTGCACAATCCAGAAGCAACGTGTCCTGCGCACTACTAAACAAATAAACGAGCAAATCGACAAATACATACACACACGCCTGCATGAAATGCAAGGCAATACAATGCAATGCGACGCAACGCAATGCAAGGCAGTGCAATGCAATGTAATATGGTACACAAAAGCATGCAACCGCAAATGATCATGCATCGAACTCTCTATCAATCGTGGACTTTGACTGCATACATCACTGTGATACACAAAAGATCACAAAAGTCTCTATACGATGAGCGATGAATAATTGTGGCATGCATCTAGAGACGAATATGAATTGGCACTGCCAACTACATGTCAATGTGCGCATGTGAAACTGCACTACGCTGGTTCGAGAGTTAAGATGTGGGAGTATTGAGAACACACTCTCGAACCTCTCCATCAAGCCAGGCTACTGAGATGCCCTAATCCACTGCCCATCAGTGCCCCATAGTCCAAGCTTAACAGTCAGACCCGCGCCTGCGAGACCTCCGTTGGAGCCTTCGTAATCGAAAGGCTAAGCTGTATGCCACATACGCTGTAACCCGAAGTTGCAAACTCCTCCGCCATACCCAAAGTCGAGTTCAAGCCTTGCAAAGCTCTCTGCTTGCGATGCAAAGGACAGCGCACGCACCGAAAAGCAGAAAGTGCTTTCCATCGTGAGCTTCCGACCGTCCCCAGGAGCTGTGGAGGAGTAGTCCCGAAAAGCTCCGTTCGAATTGGAGTAGGCCAGTGCCTGGATGATCCCTAAACACTACATCCTAAACCCTTTAAGAACTTTAGGGTTAGGGCTTGGGAGTTGGTGTTCAGGGTGCAAGAAGCGGCAACCGTTTCAGAAGCTCAGACATTGGCATGGAGAAGCCAGAAAAGATCTTGCTCTGAGAGACTCGCCTGGCAACTGGCAAAGCCGACTCTCGATACGCGATATGCCCACTCAAAATCCTTCACAAGGCATACGAGCGATCTGCCACATCCAGCGCCTGTCCTTTTTGTCCATGGCGTGATATGTAGCTTTGTTCCGTCCGAAGCTGCAGTTCTGCCAGAAGGCGCGCTGCAGCTGGGAGGGATCCTCTTGATTCCTTCGGCTGCAGAGACGGTAAGAGTAACAGTGTCGTTGTTGATGTCTGGTATGTGATGGTTTCGCTTTTGCTGTGGCAGCGACGTGTTGCTCCAGTGAACAGGCGGGTCGGTTGTTTTTGCTGTCCTTTCTTAGAGGCATGTGGTGGCCTCCGAGGCCGCAAGTCGCTTCGGCGCATAAACCCTTGGGCTCCGTCTCGGTTGGTGTGCGTCTCTGTTACGGCGGTGCTCTGCACTGGAGCTGCTCAGAAAAAATGCCTTCTGCAGCAACTAAGTGTCAAACCGAAGGTTGAAGTGTGTTAAGCAGATTAGACAACAAGAAACCTGTATGGGAACCTTCGGACAAAACATGAGTCAAGCAGCCAACGCTTCCACCAGCACCTCGTAGGCTGCGGCTATATTGGGTCCCTCACTTTGGGGCCTCGGTCCAATGCAGACTGCCAGGGTTGGCCCCGTGCCGTACTCTAAGGCTCTTGGGTGCAGGGGATTTCTGAGACTCTGAGACGGCTGCAGCTTCCGCATGGCGGCCAGCAGGGAAGATCCTAGCTCCCATTTATATCCACAGCTGCAAGCTTCGACCGTGCAGCCTTCGCAATGTGGGCCCACAAACTGCCGCAAACTTACAACGTTGTGTTCGTCTCGATTGAAGACTGCTACAAAAAGCCGCAAAAGCATGAACCCAAAGGACATTCGACGAAAGCTTTGTGGCTCCGTGGAGCAGAACTTAATGCCCAAGTCACTGAAGCTGAGAAAGTCTGGCTGTAGGATAGCTTCACGCAGTCTTCTTAGCAAAGTCAGGCTTCCCGGCCAACAGCCGCCAGTTTGACATGCATTTATCACGGAGTTGAAACCTTAGATCAGGCATTGGACTTTGCGATGTATAGTGTGGAAACGTGTAGAGTCGAGGGTTCGCACGACTTTCCGAAACCCAACCTGTAACGCTTCCGGCTAGCTAGCTGTGACTAGCTTGGTAAGTCGTGGACTGATGATGTCGGCGCTCGTCGCCGCATGGGAGAGCTCCCAAAAGAGGCGCAAAGACCACTTCCAGGCACCTCCCTCCACCTCTGAGGAAGCCGTGGCACCCAGCACGGCGTTGTATGCCAGGACACCAGGCCGCTCCTCGGATGCTTGCCGCCTTACCTGCAGCAAGGCACAGGAGGCCTGCCAGCACTTGGCCTCAAGACAGGGACTGCTTGAAAATGTCATATAAACCGGACCTACGCGGCTTTGGCCCCCCCTTCCACCTGGGCGCAGGCCCCGATGGTGGCGGAAACTCCTTCTGGGTAAGACAGACCTGTTCTGCGCCCCATCCATCGCAGCAATAGAAGTGGCTTTGCCCACTGCTGGCCGCGGCCACAGCCCCCGATGGAAGAGCTGATCGTGAATGCGTTGGGAAGCAGAGCCACGCGGACCATGTCTGCAAGAAAGCCCACGGCTCTCTCCCAGCGTCCTTGGGCAAGCGCATCACAAGCAGAGCTGCAAACGACCACATTCGGCCGGATCCCGATGGAGCCAGCTGGCCACACGAGCTGCAGCAGAGACAGTGCAGAGCGCCATCTGCGCGACTTGGCTGCTCCTGCAATCGCCGCACCGAGCGAAAATGCATCGAGCTGTAGCCCGTGCGTAGCGATATCTCCGAAAAGAGCAAGGACAGGCTGCCACTGTGAGCACGATCCGCAAACACTGACTGCAGTGTTGTAAGAGATGATGTCCGGCTCAACCTCCTGCTGGCTTTGCCGTAGTTCTTTCAGATACTGCAAAGCAGACTTCCAGTCGCCATCAACTCCACACAAGGTAATCAAGGAATTGTATGTCACGAGGCTCGGCAACAGCACCGAGTTGTGCATTTGCAAGAGTATGGAGTCTCGCATGCCCCGGATGCCGCCACGCTCACAAGCACCAAGCAAGATGTTGTAACTCACCGTGTTCAGCCGCAAGTATGCGCTCTCTCGCAACAGCTCCAGGGCCCGAGGCCATGAACTTTCCAAGCAGGCATTAGCTGCAGCATTTACCGTAAAGATACCCTTTTCGAGACCATACTCGGCCAGCAAGTCCAAGCAAAGGAGGGACCTTACGTCATCCGCGTGGATCTATGTGGGAACCACAGAGGGGAAGTTTCTCACTAGCTGCGACACGAGGACGTTTCGGACAACCACGAGTCAAACCTCTGAACCGCTTGCTGGAAACCCAAAAGAATGTTTGCATTTGGGCTTCCGAGATGCTGTGTCCATGCATTGCCTCGTCCGCATGCTGTCACCATGGCACCCAACAAGACAGCGTCCGGCTGTAGCAAGCCAGGACATGCGAGTTGCATCACTGCATCCAGCGCACTGTCCCACAGAGAACACTTGCCAAGCCTCTGCACCACGACCGTGGCATCCCGATTATCGACCACCAACTCTTGCTTCTGCAAGGACCATACTATACGCTGCACAGCTACCGGCCGTGTGGCTCGGCATAATTCGGTGTACAAGGCCCGCTTCACCTGATCATCCGGTGTTGGTGACATGAACCAATCCTTCGATACAACTCACAGAAGCCCCCTTTCGAACGCGATGTCAACGAAGCACACGATGCAGAGCTGTCCGCGCAGAGCAAGGTAACGGCACGCAGATGTACGATATGTCGCATCACGGCTTGCTGACTTTCTCGCCGCATCATCTCCATGCTGCTCACAGCATTGCGATTCGCATCAAATGCTCATGGCCGAAACTACACCTCAAAGTCCCTTGAAGACAGGTGCTCGAACCCTGACGGCCCGGACACTGCAGAACGCAACAGCACACACACACACACACACGTCAAATGGTCAAAGGCTTCTCAGGCGAGCCTTCTTGCCCGAGAGTAGGTGACAAGCAATTTCCTCACGTGCCAGCTCGTTTCAAGCGGACGATTCAACAGACAGTGCCTGCGACATGAGCTGTGCTTTTGGGCTGGTGCCAGCAAACTCTCTGTGTAAGCGATGCCTGAAGACTCTGCAACACAGCCGACATGCGTATGCAGGGCACTGGACACTCGCACGCCTGCACCTTGCTCCGCAGACCTCAACCAGAGAGGAACACCAGGGCTCGGCGTGGATGCCAGGCTTGCTCGGGTCCCGGCTCGGAGGAGAAGCCGATGAGTGCCAAGCATACATTGCGGGCCTCGTAGAGGAAAGAGAACATTCCCACAAGCCAGCACAAGCTCTGCCACCCCACACCTTCTGAAGAAGCTGTCGGTGCGCTTCTACAGCTGCTGGATCCTGAGGAGGCGGAAGGAGCAGGAAAGAGGGACTGCGGCAGCAGCTGGCCTTTGAAGGCTCCCAGTCCAACGCTGTCAGGCTGTCCTCGGGGTCAACACAACTCTTTGGAAGGACTCTGCAGCTTTTGTCAGTTTAATGTCCTGCTGCAACTGCTGCACGGATGCATTGACCAGCTGCTTCCCACAGTCAAGGAAAGCATTGTAGCCTTTTTTGCAGACTCTGGCAGCTTGCGCTTCGTGGCAATGTTGCTAAAGGCCATCACACGTTCCACAGCAGATGCTGCTAAAACTGAGCACTGTGCTGCCTTCCGGCCACTCTGCACGAGAGCGTGCCGCCATCGACAGATCCAGCCAGACCTCCACAACTAGAAGTTTCGAGACTCCCCGTGTTAGATTGTGGCAAAGACAAACCATTCGAAGCCTGGGATCTGTACTTGTCCGGGACCCCAGCACGGAGCAAGCCCTGACCAGTGCCAGTTAGGGCTGACTTGTGACAGCGTGGCGCCGCAAGCGGTCAGGCTGCAGTCCTTCAGCTGCTCTTCCCAACTTGCCTCCGACAGCATGAGATACATAGAGGACTGGCTCCAACCGAGTCTGAAACTTGGCAAAGAAGGCCATGAGGTTGGCATTATCACCACCATTGCGAGAGTCTGAAGACAAAAGAAAGCACTGCTTCCGCCTACTCACGATGCCTCGAAGCCTCCATGCTACTTCGAGGTTGTGATCCCCTGGCGCCCCTGCCCTCACGCCTCACCCACGCCAGCGCGGTAGAGTCGGAGCTCCGCCAAGGGGGCCTGAAGACACAGCTCCCTGGCGGCAAAGGGATGTCGGAACCCCACAGGCCTTGGCCAAACCGGCAGACTTCAGCTTGTTTCGGAAAGCTCTCCAGCTATGGAGGCTCCGCTCTTCCTGACCTCAAACGGCGTTAACCAGAAGGCAAAGTGAACTGGAAGCGAATCTGAGCTGAGACTGGCGCATTGAAGGCGAGGCTGCAGCATAGCCATCGAGACAGCACGTTCGAGCGCGGCCTCGCGTGCTGTCGCTGCGTTGCCCACATGTCATCCGATGCGCTCGAACTCACGAGCCTCCTCAGCAGATCCCTGGCAGTCAGCCAGGTTCGGGTTGTAGCCTGGTAAGATACTGCGATGTCAGAATTGAGTCAGCTTCTCTGCATATTGTTTGCGCTTCATCAGCGTGCCTGCAGGCTCCAGGATCAGCGCAAGATCCTGAGATGGGTCTCACTCTGCGAGTGCAAAAAAAACGGCACACTTGACCAGGTCAAGGGATGTGCGCTTCCGGAAATTTCGCCATCCTGGGTCGAACGACGAAAGCACGAAGATTCTCGGCAGAAGGAGTGGCTGAGTCCAGGTCGCTTCCGCAAGTTCGTATGCACCGAGCACCGCCCTCCGCCGCTTCCAGCTCGCCCCTGAGACCGAAGAAAAGGGATACATAAAAAAAGAAGGGGAGAGTTTTGTGCAAGGAAACAGCTGGCTGAGGAGCTCTCCGGAGATACGCCTTCAGGTAGCTCATGGAGGAGGAGGATGAGGTGGAGGCACCGGAGAGCTGGCCTTCAGACTGAGCCAGATGAGCCAGCAAGTGCCAAGTGCAGCACTGCCGGCACTCCACCTTGAGGATTGTCGCTGTCTATGGGCTTCCACCTCTGGCCCATCTGCAGATTGCGCACTCCAATTTCCTAGGAACTGGCACACTTTTACTGCGCCTGTGAATGCTGAAATGTCGGGAGACGAATGCTGCTGCAATGCGGCACTCTGCTGCAGTACTAGCGTTGCTGCTGCTGCCGCTGCTCTTCCCGCAAGCAGTATGGCCAGTGCACGGCGCGGTTCTGCATCTGACTCCAGCATGTCCTCTCCGTCCTTGATGAAGGTCCCGAGTCAACATCCGCAAGATGGGGGAGTGTGCGCTCGAGGTCCCCGTCCACTTGTATGCCGGCCAACTCTGCAGTGCGAGCAGCGCAGCCTTGAGCATGTGGAGCTGGGAACACTTCGGGTCATCTCCTCAATGCCAAGTCGATGCCCAGGACGTTCGAATAGTCTATGTTTATCAAACTCATCCCTGCCACAATCAGTACCATGACTCCCCCCATGACCAGCATCTGGAGAAGAATCCTCCTGGTTAGCTTTGCCGAGACCACCTCGGCTGAGAACGAGTCGAGTGACACAGGAAGAGAGTCACCTACGGTGATCTACGGACTTGAGTGAACTCCAAGTATCCACTGCTAGTTCGGAGAAAAGAGCCGAAGCTTTTCAAGCTGTGTCTTGGACAAGGGTCTTGGTTTGTTCAGCGGGCCATGCCCGCAACACAAAGACTATGAAAACATGCCCCAATTGTAGCCGGATCTCGTCTTCGAAGAGCACCTCCTTGGTAGGCTTAACCCGAGGATACGCCATGATGAGCGAAAGCTGGATCAAAGACAGAAGAATGCCCACGGCATTGGGCACCCACAGGGGCATGCTCTGATGCCTCAACCCAACGCCACACCAACACGCACTGCAAAGAAGTCCCAGGACGGTTTGCAAGGCTGGCAGGGATTCGGAGCTGCGGTCCCGCAAGACTCGCTGAAGAGCCGAGAGGGGCGCTGCGAAGACCAAGATGTTCAGGACCAGGGCACAGGAGCCGATGTGCTCCGCAGCATTCCTGGGTTCTTGGTAAGGGATTTTATTTAAGATACTCTCATAGGGATCTATAGTAAATTTTATGGCTTCCTTATGATGGTAACTTAAATTGAGTCTCCTAACAAGAACCCAGATTCTGGTGGATCTCAAGGGCGGCGTACAGCCACATCAGCAGGGACACCGTGACCGAGGCGACTGTTCCACCCGCTGCTGCCGAGTTCCACTGAAGCGCCCCACTGAACTTCGCGGCGCACCACCAGCAAGAACCCAAGTAGTACAGGGAAACAGCCAAACCATAGAGGTTGCAGGGGACCGCTGCAGGCAAAGGTCGGTAGATTCCATAGACAACCTGCGCAGCACAGTTTCCATACATTGAGAGAATGGTGATCGGATTGATCAGGTCGACCTTGGCCGGAGTTTTTTGTGCTTGCCAGACTTGCGGCATGGGAGAGGATAGAAAGAACATCGCAAGGACTGTCCCGGCCCCTTCCACCACCGTGTCCACCCTTGACATTGTCTGCGTAAGTGATTCGCTCGTGTGATTTCCCGTTGAGACAAGTGTTGGCGATTGACGAGGCAGCTGAGCAGCACCGTCCATTCCATGGCAAGCGCTGTGCAGTTTGAGCCGCACTCTGCACACGAGCAGAGCCTGCCTGATAAGATGCTCTCCGTCTGTCGCTTGCTCGGCTTGAAAGCGCTAGGCAGATGGCATTGTCATGATGTGAACGTCTCCACACTCTGTGACCTGAAAGAAGCTTGTTGCATCAGCTCGACTCTGCCAACGTGTTCCTTCAGGCTGCGGCCCGCCACTTCCCATCTGCATCTGGCAAAGGCAAGGCCAAGGGCCTCAGAGACCGTATGGTCAGCAGAACTCCCTGATCTCATGCGGGCCCTTCCCAGCTCTCAGATCCGGACAACCAAAGATTCCTGAAAGGCGCCTCCCCGCTTCACCGAGCATTGCTTGGTGTTGGAGAGGCAGGGGAGAAATGGGGGAAATGCCGACGGCCTTGGCATTGGTGAGAAAGTTCTTCTTCGTGATGGGAACTTTGACCCTGCCCACAAGCTCTTCGCCGGCCTTGAACCGAAGTCGCAGAGATGCTGGGCCTTTCGCGCCAAACCCTCGGGCTCAGGAGCCGACAATTCCGATGTTTATGACTTCCAGCTCCAGCCACAAGTTCGGCATCCTCCAAAAAGAAAGCATGTGTTCCGGGCTCCTGGAAGCTCTGCCCGAGTGCCTTTCGGGTAGGAAGATCTGGCTACGGAAGACCCAGCCTGCAGCCCCGGCACCGAGCACTGCAGTGCGACCGCGTGCAGCTGCACTGTTCTGTGCAAAAGTCAAGGGCCGCGGCCGTCGTGCTGGCCTCCGTGGTCAAGTCCGCTCCAGCTGGGGCCTCCCCGGCTTCAGCTGCAGGCAGAGCTTCTCAGGGTCTTGCTGGGTGTCACGCTTGCTGAACCCTCCCGTGTTGGGGAGTCGAAGCACTGGTGCCCATCCATGGAAACGACCTTGCGCTTCGCAAGTGCAGGAGGCTGCACTGATGTGCCATGTCGAACCTCTGCGTCATCGAGGATGCGAAGCCGGACAAAGATCTCCAGGTTCTTCGCAGGCCGGAGCAACTCTCCCATGACCTGGCCCGGTGTCTTTGAGAAAACGTCTTGCGATGACCACGGCCATTGAACCATTATGGAAAAGCGGAAACCGTCTTGCCACCGTCACCTACATCGCCGCGCACTCTATTGCATTGTGTCGCTGGCTGCACTGCATAAAGAACAACCGTACAACCTATCTCAGTATGTCGACATGCATCGGATGGCAGCTTGGCTACCCATCACGTGGGGAAGACCCTTGGCAATCTGATCGAAACCACGGAAATTCGGAGCTCGGTCTGGGGGTCTTCGGATCAGCGAGCTTCGGGCATTGTGGGCAGGACATGGCCTGGCAGAGATGGGCCCCAAGCACCTCTCCCCTTTCATCAGCTCAATCGAGGTTATCATGCGAAGGCGAATCCAAATGCCATCACCATGCCGTCATCATCCATGCATCGAGGTCAGCAAATATGTAGAGAGCATTCTGCCGAAAGAAACCTACGACTGCAAAATGAAGATAGGCCAGCGTGATCTCTCGCAAAGAAGCCTGTCCTCAGAAGAATCGGGGGAGATTGTGAGCGTAAATCTAGGACCGCGCATGGGGCAAGACATGGGCATGGAACGCAGTGACGAAATCCGTCCATGTCAATCTGACGGCATCCCCAACCAGGTCGGAAAAGATGAAGATTCACCGTCTCTTGGACAAGGCGCCCAACCCCACCAAAGCAGCGTGACCCTCCACCAGTCGAAGATCGCGTGCAGTGCACAACAATCAGCTGCCCCACCTGCAGGATCGGCCTCCCTGCCGCCAAAGCATCCAGGGAGTTCGCCACCTCTGTGCCTGGGCCCGAAACCCCAGATTCGCCACGAAACGCCTTGGCCCTGAGCACCCGGCATCCTCCAGTCCTGCGGGGCCATGCCGAAGACCAATGCGAGATGTGACGGTAAGAGAGCGCAGAAACGCCGAGGATTCAAAGGGCCCCAAGAGCCTTTAAAGGTTGCGACGGGTGCTCCGGGCTCCGTGGCTACTAGCAGTATAATCTTGTTGTCAATCCACTGACAAGGACGGGTGCGCATGCATCGAGCTCAGAGTGACTGCGTTGTTGCACGAGGCTCCTGGGCATTAGATTCTTGGCACGAACGAGAAGCACTTCAAGCCTGACAACAATAGGTGAGAGTCAGAAAGAGAAACTTGGATTGCTGGCTTTGCTCTAAGCCGTCGGCTGGCCACTGCCCTTGGGCACCGGTTGGCCCGTGGCCTGGCGTGACTGCACCAGCAAAAACCCAAAAGAAGGCCTTTTTCTCGAAGGTAAGGATCATGGAGCCAAGCGATGTCAAGCGACTGTGAGTGAGATGCCACCAGCTGTCCTGGCCTCGGCTCGGAGAGCAAGGGAGGCGAGCGATGGCTAGCGCTTGCTTGGTTTGAGAGGCCCTACCTTGATGGCCCGTGTTCTGAGAAGGGGACCTGCTGATGCATCCTCACCTTGGTGAAGCATCATGCTTCGAAGGCTCCGTGTGTGACACCTTCTAAGAACAAGAGAAGCGGCGAGGAACCCTACTTCGAGGGCCTCCGTGTCCTACAATTCATCCCCCCTTCTCTTCTTGGCTGTGCACAGATTGCCGGAGGTTGGCAACCAACCTCTTCATGTCCTCCTCGCTGTCGGCCTTTGCATCAGATCCAAGCAATGCGTCGATGTGCAGCTGTTGGAACAGGACAAGTTGATGACTTTGGAGTTGTAGGAACGGGACACGCAGGTGCATTTTCCATTCGTGCCGGCAGACCTCCTCCAGAGCATCCTGGGCACGGCTGCTGGGGGTTTCGGAGATGACCATTTGGTTCACATCCGCTCTCCGCTTTCACTTCAATGGGCAGCGAGCGAGAGGAACTGGGCCGCCGATGCCCTCGGCGGTGCCACGGAGCGACGTGGCCACCGCCTGGGCAGGAAGCACTCTGCAGTGCAGTGGTCCGTCAGCTGCAACTCTCAAAGTGAAAAGTAAAAAGTCCTTAAGGTCCGGTCATCGTGCGGCTTCAAGACAGCAGCATCGTAGACATGGAAGCCAGCTGACTGCTCTGCCTCCCAGGTGGCCAGGGTCAGGAAGGCCAGTGGTGGGGAAATGGGGCAGGACTGAATCACGGACGAATGGAATGCTGCGCTGTGCGCTTTTGCAAAATGGTCCTGGTCTTAGTACTTGTTTCATGCACCTTGATGGAGGTCACGGGCAGGCTTTGCAAGATCACGCGATACGACCTTGCAAGGCACCAGGCGTCAGTCCATCCCTGCAAGGAACACCCAGATCTGGGCGACTGGCTCCACGTCTGGCTCGTAGATGGCAGTGCAAGGGGTCGCGAGGACTGCCCCTGGCAGGCGGTAGCGCCTTGGTTCCACCCACTCCCAGCATGCTGCGAGCAGCCTTTGGAGTTTCAACTCTAAGCCGCAAGCCGATGTGCGCAGCCCTGCATAGGGAAGTACACTTTCTAGGGCAATCGCTTTCATTCACCAAGGGCCTGCCTTCCAATTCCGCACAAAGGCAGGGGACAGCTCCACGTCACAGGTGCCATCCTCGATGCAAGCTCTCGACTTCTTACCAACGACATCATCAAAACTCTGGGCCGCGTTGGCCCAACTGTTTGGCATTACGGCATCGGTCTCCCAGATCGGACGGGGCCACACACCCACGGTTCGGAATGATCTGTGCTGCTGCCTGTTCCGACCCAGGATTTACGGCATCTTTTCACCTCAGGAGGAAGTTGGTGCTCGAACCTCGGCCGCTTCCCGTGGAAGGGCCGAAGTGAGGGACGGGGTGACCCACGAGGGCAATCCCTTTTGCCTCGACATGGCCCCCGTGCGATGGTGGGCGGGCGTTGAGCTTTGCTTTGATGCATCAATCGTCTCTGCATAAAAGAGTGGGTCGACCGGGCATCAAACACCCAGTTCCGGCCAACATCTCCCAGCCCCGTCCATGACGTTTGCATTTGCGGGTGTATGTGGGTGTGTACTCGGGCAATCAGACCTTGTGCAACACGATCAGACTCCAATTGCAATCAGCCTTGTGGTGCCCTTCGGTACAGATTCTGCCCCGTGATGACTGAGGACGAGTCGTTGTACACAGCCAAGACAGTGACGACGATTTCCCGGAGAGCGTGTGTTAACTCCTGGACCTTCAGGCTGCGCAGCCGGACCCGCACACTGCACAAATCCAGCCGCGGTTGAGGTCCTTGCAAGAAGGGTCTTCTGCCTGCAACGCTTGGGGCTTGGAGCAAAGGAGGTGTCGGGGCTCTGCGAGGCCTCAGCCCTGGCTTTGATGGGCTGCTTGGTGTTGCGGCCAAGGCCTTTTGTCAAAGGGCCGCATTCTGAATGCTTCGAGTTTGAGGATGCTCTGAGTGTGGCGCCTGCTGTGACAAGGCCTCCTGCACCCTGGACCAAGTCGCCGGCCTTAGAAGCGGCGCTTGGTCCATCGTCTACCCCGCCTTGGGACAACTTGGGACTGTGCAGCTGCCGTCGACGAAAGTCGCACTCGTTCTCATCTGCTGCCACTGCCTGATCTGGACATCGGACCACTCATGAAAGGGCAATGTCCAGCGGTCTCGGGAACTGGCGAATTTCGGAGGAACTGCTTCAGCTCGTGGCCACTTCTCGAAGACGGGCCTCAAGCGCACGGCGGGCTCAACACACCCTACGACGCGAGAACCTGCTGGGCTTCTGGCGGCTTCCTCAATAGCTTCACAAGCGTTTCTGTATCTGAAGACAGGCTTGAAACCGCGCGAGACACAGCATAAAGGTGCTCGAAGGGGCTCACGGCCTGGTGGTAGCCGCGACTGGGCGAGCTCGACGGCCGTGCGCGGCCTGAGGAGCGAGAGCGCTCCAAAGGGAAGCGGTCCGCTTTGGTCCGCTTTCTCAGGCGACTCGGCCACTGGCCAGCGGAGCGGAATTCCTTCAAGGCCGATCCGCTGCTCGTCCCAGCCTCACGCGAGATTTAAGCGAATGGAAGATGTGAGCACCGTAAAGCGATGCTATGCTAAGGGCGCAACGGCCATCAACCAATCTGTCGCGAAACTCTGCTTCACTGCGAGGGTATGTCAGCACCTCCTCCACCGATATTGTCCCTGCACCGCCAACATAAATCCTACCACCTTGCTCCGCATTGATCTGTGGAAGATCATCTCGAAGGCAAGCAGCAACTGACAGCGACGGCACGTGTGCCGGGAGGGCAGTATCCTTCAGTTGCGAAAGCACCGATGCGTGCGGAGATTCCGTCACTTCGCACAACGCGAGTGGCCGAAGATGGCTCGCATCGTCGAAGTCTAAATTTTCAAGCAGAAGCTTGGCATGCAGAATAGATACCTCAGGCGTGTGCTTCTGGACAGCGCGTCCGGAAAGCTTCAGCATATCGTGGAAATCCATCGGTTGTGGGACATCCTTGCTCTTCGCACACTTGACCAAGAGGTATACTGGTGGAAGCTGTCCGGATGCGTCTACCACCTCGGGTGGTAGTGGGAGCAGCAGTTTCTCTCCTTTGAAGGTCATAAAGCCTTTTGCTTCGAGCAAGCACGGCTCGCCAGCCGGCAAGGAAAAGACCTTGAGACCAGCGCAACGAAGCTCTATTCGGACGTCCTCCGGCTTAGCCATGATCCCCGCTTTTAACTCACCCAGCCGTATTTGCAAAAAGTGCGGTTTCAGCTTGTCGGGTTGCTCGACCATGTCACCAGCCGGCGCAGCAACACCAAGGCAGCCGAAGGGGGGCGACGACGCCACAGCGGCCTCGGACTCCAACATGAGTATGTCATGGTTGTGACTATGTCTCGCTAGACACGCCCACACAGGCCTACTTCGTTTATCAGCGTCCACTCTGGCACACACAGACCAAAGAACAGCAAAGTGGCACACTGCTCAGGTGACACAACTCTCGGCTTTGATGCAATGCTTTGTGATCGCACATGTTCGGAGCGCACATCGATGTCCACAAACGGCTTCTTCCCAATTTGATCTTCTTGGCGGCTTGACAAAGGAATTCGCCACGAAGTTGTTAGGCTATTGAAGCCTAGCAGTCGATGTTCTGTGGATCTAGGAGACTTCTCTGTCGGCATCTCGCTCTGCGTCGAAAGCAGCCGCCAGAGAGCTACACGATTGCCACAAAGTACTCTTGAGTTTGCCCTGCCCGGGCTGAAAAGCAAATCTGGATGGGCCTCCTCGATGACATCCACGCTGCAAACAGCTTCCTGGATAAGATCGAGGAGCTGGGAGGCCTCTTCAGTGTCATCTGGCAGTGCAATGTGACGATCCAGTGCGCACGTGTAGTCCACGTCCTCCCCCGTCTGGATGGCACTGACGACGCGCTGCCCCAGAAGGCTCAAGACTGCACGTGTGCAGGTGCCGCTGCCTTTGCTTGCTTTGGGAATCCAGCCAGCTCGAACAGCCACCGTCAGTCGAAGGCTTTGCGAGTCACTCCCAGGAGATCGCAGACTCGAAGCCAGTTCACGAACCGTCATTTCGGAGACACCGCGGTGGATGTTCAGCAGAGGCCTCGTAGGTCTCTTCTTAGACTTCATGCGTGTAACAGCGTGACTTCGCATGACTCATTTGAGTTCAGCACCCATATACAGTCAGCCAGGGGCCCGCGTGCCTTCAAAAACTGAAGCGAGAAATGGACTCTCGGAGCTCGCATTCACACCGTTACCCCCTCAGAAGCGCGCTCTTTGAACTCATCAACCCGCTCCTGAGAGCACTTAGAATAATCGAGCCGTGAGCTTTTGCTTCAGAGCAGGCTAGGCAATCCTGCGGATGTCAGACGAGTATCTGAGTGCATGATAACTGAGCGGATGCTGTCGATGTGCACAAAAGCAGGAGTTTCCTTGGCAACTTGGCAAAGGATTTCGCATGCTGCTGACGGCAAGGCTCAACAAGTCCCACACCGAAGCACCCCGCCTGAGAGTCGACTCAACTCATACTCAAGTCTAGCTCGAGCAACGCCCCCAGAGCCCCCGATCCAAGAAAGCCACTGGCAAATGTGCAGCTTGCTCAAGCACTTGGAGATCCACAGAAGTCCATTGCAGGGCCTTGGCAACTACATGTTGAGTCTGCGAATCTGCTCAACCCGCTCACTTCTCATACCCACGGTAAGTCCATGTCGCCAAGTTCTGGGTTGAGCAGCTCGCAGAGAAGGGGCGTTGACCTAACGCAGGCACATGCTGGCTGGGAACCTGCCTGAGTTTGCAAGGTAGTCATACCACGACAGGCAATGTAGTGCATGCCTCTTCCTTCACGCTGCGAGCTGGTCCCATCACCGCCCTCGCGAGCATTGTCGGACTCACTGACGGAATGCATTGCGATTCGGTTCGGAGTTCGGAGTTGCGCAGCTTCTGAATTGAAACAAAGTCAAGGAATTGGGCGGGAACACAGGAAGGTCCCGACACCGCCTGCTTGATGCCGGTGACAAACGAGGCACCTGCTCTGGATTCTCAGGAAGGGTGTCAGGGCTTTGTCAGACCCCTGAACCTGCCGGGCATCCCTTGCATCGACTTTTTGAACTGGGCGCTGAGACATGCTGACGCCTGAAAAGGCGGATTGAGGCCACTCTCGGTTGAAACTTTGAAGTCCTGGCACAAGATCGGCAAGGCCTCCTGTATCGAGGACTCACAGATTGACTGGATTAGCTCTCTCATGTGTGAGACCCGAGACTAACCATAGTTGGCGGCAGCTGAAGCTGCAGACTGGGATACATCGTGCATGAAGTTACGTCAAGGAAAGCCGGATAGGCTACGTCAGCTCAGAGAGAAGTCGGCTTCACCAGCCTCGGAAGCGGAGGGAAAGCCAGCGGGATGCGAGGCGTAGCTTGAGGCACTGGCATGGCATTGGAGGCAGCGTTGCGTCCAAGAATGATCGGCCTGTGGTGACTGCGCTCCTCGCAGGGTCGCATCGCATTAGATGCAGATTACAGACTCAGAGTCAGCAGTGCACGTGAGAGTCTGATCTGAGGCGACCAGGCGATATGGTACAAAGATCTCCTCAAGCTGAACGCATGCGCACTTTCAGAGGTTGGTGCACCTCAGCTTCATCTGACAATCGACGTGGATAGGGTTCATCTGTGGAAGCGGACGTTATAGACACTCTTGGAGTTGCTGGTTTCGTCTGCTTGACATGCGCTGGGACCCAGGGAATTGAGGTAGAAAATCTGACCCGGGATGTCTCCGTTGCAAGACATGGAGCTGGAAGCAGCGAGCACGCGCTGCAGGATGAGGTTTTCGCCACCGCTCAAGCGCACCGCATCTTGAAGCAAAGGGCCTCCCTGGAGGCCCCAGCCTGGCTTGGGAACCTGGGCCGAAGTCGAATAAGATCGAGGGACCGGGAGGGACCGGTCTGAGCCGTGACTGAGCCGGAGGCCTGGAGCTGCGGCATGGCGATCGCGGCTGCGCTGCACATTTGAAGCGCCGCTGCTGCTTCCCCTCCCGCGCCCGCCGGCCCTCCGCCGGTCTCGCTCTCGTTCATCCCAGCCACTGCCTCGAGCATTGCACGCCGTCGCGACCTTAAGGCTATGCCAGCGGCAAGCGCTCGGACGGTGGCACGGGCCTCAGACACCTGAGGCGTGGACGCATTGTTTGGGACCTCCATCTGCTGCACTTTGGCCGCCGAGGCCGCCGTCGAACGGCGCAGCTCGGCACTCTTGCGGGGTGCCCGAAGGTTCATCGAGGGCACCACCGCCTGCAGTCCCCGGAATGTCTCAGGTACATGTATGTATGCATGCATGTACGTGGTATGTGTGGGCGGGCAGGCAGGCAGACAGCAGATGAACAGACAAATAGACAGACAGGTAGATAGGCCGGCAGGTAGAAGGTGGATAGCTTGTTGGTGTGGGAAATTTAAACATAGGATAGTCACAGTCAGTAGAAAGTTCCCAACATTTGTCAACAGCGCACTTACTGGCTGTATATATCTCTGTAAACATTTACTTCAATCGCAACAAATCCGCCGACCGTTGGGGCGGCACTTAGAGGTTGTGTTGCACCGTCCCCCTCCCAGAGCCCCGAACGCCCCAACTGCCCTCAGGGCGCAGCGTGCTTCCACAGCGCCCACTGGCATGCCGCTGATTCGAGCCCAAGGCATGCCCAACCCCTCAACCCCCCCAGCGCCGACCGCGCCAGAGCCCGAGCGACATGAGCGCCCAAAGCATATGCTCAAATTATTGGGGCACCGCACCGCCCGCCGCGCCTTCGGCATTTACCACGCATGCACAGGTTTTTGTAATTAAATTCGAGCCGAAGGCAGGCCCAACCCCTGAGGCCCGTCACCGCCCCTGAGCGCCCAAAGCACGCTCGACCCTCACGCACCACAAAAACGCCCTCCACCAACTATTGCTCTTCGACACCGCCCGCCGCGCCACTCCCGGCTTGCTTTCTTGTGGCCAGCAAGTAGGGTATATTGCAATTCAACTCGAGCCTAAGGCAAGCCCAACCCCTCAGGCCCCAACTGGATTTCAAGAACACTCAGCCGCCCCAATCTGCAGGGGTCGGCGGCACTGGCGGCAGCCATTAAATCGGGCAGCGCTCGGTCCCCGAGCGCATGCGTCCTGTCAGTTCCAGGCTCAGCCTGGTATGGCCTTGCAAGCTTAGCAAAAGGCGCTACCGCCAGTGCCGCCGACCTGCTTCATCGGACCCTCGGTTTTCCAACGGACCGCGCGGGACCTCGCCGGGAGGCGTTGCGGAACAAGCACGCGTTGTGCAGCCATTCCCCACCACGGTATGGCGGATTTCGGGGAATTCGTGGACGACCCCAGGAGGCCCGGCGAGCATCATGAGCACGCGGGGAGCGAGGCGATGTTTTGCAAATTTTGAGTGGGTTGCGGAAGCCCCCAATGGGCGCGCATCATCAGCATCAGCGGGGTCCGGCGGACACCAACGGGAGCACATCATCAGCATCAGCGGGGTTTGGCGAGGGGGGGGGCGTGGCCTTGCTCCAGGTTTCTACCTGCGCTGCCCGCCCGTGGGCGCAGCCCCTAGATAGAGCGGTAGCTTGCTAGCTGAGCTTTAGAAAAAGGCACGACCGCCAGTGCTGTCTTCGTATGTTTTTTTCGTAATTTCGGGTAGCCATGGGTAGCCACCAAAACGCGCGCATTATGCGCATCAGCGGCCCCAGTCCGGGACCCGGGGCGCGCATCATGAGCATCAGTGGGGCCCTGGGCACACGGGGGAGGGCGGGAGGTCGTCCCCTCCGTCCTTGCAAAATGTTGTTCTAAATGGTTTGCGGCTTGAAGCTTGAAGCTCAATTATTTATATCGGTTTGTCCGGGCTGCTACCTGCGCTGCCCGCCCGTGGGCGCAGCAGCGCTCGGTTGCCGAGCGCATGCATCCTCTCAGTTCCAGGGTTTGCCTGGGCATAGCTTGCTAGCTTTGCTTTAGCAAAAGGCGCGACCGCCAGTGCCGCCGACCCTGCATCATCGGACC